TTATTATTATTATTATTAGTAGTAGTAGTAGTAGTAGTAGTAGTAGTAGTAGTAGTAGTAGTAGTAGTAGTAGTAGCAGTTGTGTGGTGGCGGCTGCACCTCCATAGGCATCAGTGAATTTTGTACATAAGAACGTTGGACAGCACTGGGTTACAGGATCCAAGCGAGTTAAATGGGGATAATCTGAACAATATAAGACGTGAAACCAGCAGGGATTTCAGGAACAAAAAGAGGGAATATCTGAAAGACAAAATTGATGAGCTTGCAATGAACAGTAAGAACAAGATTATTATAGATCTATATAGAGGAATAAATGACTTTAAGAGGGGTTACCAGCCTAGCAGTAACTTAGAGAAGGATGAGAATGGTGATCTGCTTGCAGATTCCCACAATATTTGAATACGTGGAGGAACTACTTCTCTCAGTTATTGAGTGTACATAGGGTCAGTGATGTTAGGCAGACAGAAATCGATACAGCTTAGCCGTTAACACCTGATCCTAGACCTTTTGAGGTTGAAAGTGCTAATGCAAAATTGAAACGGTATAAATCTCCAGGTAGTGATCAAATTCCGGCAGAACTTATTCAAGCAGGAGGCAAAATATTACGTTCTAAGATCCACAATCTAATTACTTCTATTTGGCATAAGGAAAAATTGCCTAATCAGTGGAAGGAGTCCACAGTTCACAAGAAGGGTGATAAAACTGACTGTAGTAATTATCGGGGGATATCACTACTGTCAACTTCATATAATATTTTGTCCAATATTCTTCTTTCAAGGTTAAGTCCATATATAGTCTAACTGTCCTCTTGGTGCCCTTACATTGGTCTCCACTTTTATAACTGCCGTCACATTCGCCTACACGTTTGGCATCACTTTTAACTCTGTAACTGCTCAGTGAGACTTCAAGCCCCACAAGTTGGTCGCCACTTTCATCTGCTGCTTCCTTGTTGCTGTCTGGTTCAGGGTAGGGTGTGGGATTACTCTGATTTTGAATTTGTATGGGCGCCAGTGGACTTAGGTGAAATCCACGAATTTTGAACGGGGAAAACAAAGGTGGGGATGTGGGTAGGCGGGCGTTTGGGGTTCTGACTGCTCAGACGGTAGGATGAGATTCTGTCTCAGGGCGACTTCTGGGCCTTGCTCACACAAGGAGAGAGAGAACACTTCAAACTCACACTTCACCAACACTGTTGCTCTTTATTATAGATATGAATTAGAATTACATATTACAAGGCTGTAGCACTTTGAATTTGTGTACCAGACTGGGCCAACACCGATTTAACGTCCGGGAGGTTACTCCTGTTACTCCCCAAGACGATTGACTCCAGTTACTCACTTTAGATGACTGACTCCAGTTATTCCCTTTAGAAGACTCACTCCTGTTACTCCCTTTTGATGACTGACTCCTGTTATTCCCTTTTAGCTACTGCTTGCTTTGGAGAGGCAGAAGTCCTGACGGTTCTGGGAACGCCTGGTTTCCTCTCCTCTGAAATTTTGCTGATTGGCTGAACCTAAAATTTGGGTGTTTCTCTCATTTACTTTCAGCCAGTCCCTAACAAGATCCTTGTAAATTTGGGCCTAAGTACGAGACGGTCCTTCTGACAGCTCTCATATAAATGAAGGTACGCTAACAATCGCTTGGTATGCCCCTTTGAAAATTATTGCGACTCGTATCTGTCAAGTCTCAAATTTTCAAAGACTCGCACCATCGAAGTTAAGCATTGAAATTCCCAGAAAACGCAGCGGGATACTTCCTGCTCCATTCTGGATTTCAAGTGACTTGCAGCTTGCTTGTCCCTCAGAAAGACCATATGTCGTCCTTGGCGTCTGCTGGTGCTGGGGTCAATTCTGTATCATCTTGTGTTAACAGTAATACAGTTCGTTTACATGTAGTACACTGTAATTAAGAATGTAAATCAACAACATTGCTGAGGTTCCTGCATGGTTCAGTTACAATAGATGAAATTATTGGGGATCATCAGTGTGGTAACAGATCAACTACAGATCAGATCTTTTGCATTCGTCAGATATTGGAGAAAAAATGGGAGTACGATGAGACAATACCTCAGCTATTCATAGACTTCAAGAAAGCCTACGATTCAGTTAGGAGGGAAGTATTGTACAATATTCTGATAGATTTTGGGATACCCATGAAACTAGTTAGGTTGATTAAAAAGTGTTTAAATGAAACAGCAAAGTCTGTGTAGGTAAACATTTGTCTGATAAATTTCCTATCCAGAATGGTATAAAACAAGGAGATGCTTTATCGCCACTCATTTTCAACTTTGCTTTAGAATATGCCATTAGGAAAGTTGAGGGAAACCAGTTGGGACTGAAATTAAAGGGACACATCAGCTGTTGGCCTATGCCGATGATGTGAATCTACTGGGTGATAATGTAGATACCATAAAGAAAAACACATGGACTTTAACTGACGGAAGTAAAGAGGTTGGTCTAGAAGTAAACGCAGAGAAAACTAAGTATATGTTGCTGTCTCGTCACCAAAATGCAGGGTAAAATCATGACATAAAGATAGGAAACAGATGTTTTGAAAATGTGGCACAGTTCAGATATTTGGGAACAACAATAACAGATCGAAACCTGATTCAAGAGGAAATTAAAAAGATATTGAACGGGTAATGCTTGCTACCATTCAGTCCAAAACCTTTTATCTTCTCATCTGCTGTCCAAAAACATAAAAATTAGAATATACAAAACTATAATTTTGCCTGTGGTTCTGTATGGGTGTGAAACTTGGTCTCTGACATTAAGGGAGGAACATAGAGTGAGGGTGTTTGAGGAGAATATTTGAACCAAAGAGAGATGAAGTGACAGGAGGTTGGAGGAAACTGCATAATGAGGAGCTTCATAACTTGTACTCTTCTCCAAGTATAATTAGAATGATCAAGTCAAGGAGGATGAGGTGGGCAGGGCATGTAGTACGAATTGGGAAAACAAGGAATGTGTATAGGATATTGGTGGGAAAGCCAGAACGAAAGAGACCACTGGGAAGACCAAGGCATAGGTGGGTGGACATTAGAATGGATCTTAGAGATAGGATGCGATGGTATGGATTGGATAGATCTGGCCCAGGATAGGGACCAGTGGAGGGCTCTTGTGAACACAATGATGAACCTCCGGGTTCCATAAAATGCTGGGAAATTCTTGAGTAGCTGCAAAATTGGCGGCTCCTCCAGAACGGCTCACCTCCGTAAGTAAGTGTGAAAAGTAATCTTTTGATGTCTGGTAGTGCATGATCTCCATGATTACTGTGAGATCCAGAAGTGCCTTTATTTAGTGCACTTCACATAACCCTGCATTTACCAATGAAATCCTAACTCAGCTGCATTTCTCAAATTTTCTTGGCACCCTCCCTGTTCATATTCCAGACTAGGACTTCAATAAGTACGTTGTCAAAGAGAAAGGAAAGTATTCAATGAGTGTTGCATCAGTTGGTGAGTTTACATGAGTTCTGAAGTCTGCCTTTTATAAAGTAAAAGATATGTGGTCTTTCATTGCCTTGAATCCACATATTTTCAGCCCTCAACTACTGCTGCTTGCTGAATATGCATATTGTTGCTGAGTGCATCATGATCGAATTCAGCATTTTCACTCCAGTCATGTAACTGTTCTGATCAAGAAATATTTAATGCTCACTTCATTCATTCATTTATTTCAAATTCAGTAAATCCAAAACATAGGTTGAAATACAACCCTGGATATAGAACATGTCAATAATAATATTAAAATAAGTTCCAAACATTGAAACAGTCAAGATAAACAATAAAAACGATATAAAATAGTACACAGTGTAATAACAATTTCATTAAATACAAACAGATTAAAACAAAGAATTTAAATTATCAGTAACATGAATCTTCTATATACAATTCCACCCAAAATATATTAAGTACAAAAGATTATTATGCGCTTTAGTTTCAAGATAAATATAAGCAATAAATATAACGCCTCAATAACGCCTGAATATTATTACTGTCATCAGAATTTATGAAACCATGTTCAACTCAATTACTGACTTCATTTTTACTTTGCAGCAGTAGGTCAGTGTATTCACTCAACCATTTTGCCATTAACTAATGTGCATGTACACATCGTGTATAATCTGAATTCTTTCTACAGAGACATTTCTCAGATAGTGGCATGTTTTGTAAATATTTCCTACACATACACACAAATACCCTACCAGCATTATATATTTTGTATCCAACCTTGTAGACAAATATTTAATGCTAGTAAAATTATACAATGTTGATTCTAACTGGAATGCTTCCTTTTTGTAAAAGACAGTATTTTAAAATGAAGTTACAACCTTAACATATGCCAGATGGGAGCGGCCTCATGTGCTTTATGGTCAACTGTTGGACTGGATTAGATGGCTTGTAGCATGGCAGCCACTTATTCTGTTTCTTGTTCAGGGTATAAACTGGGTACTAGGACTGGAATGAATATTATGGCTGTGAATTTTCAAATACGTATTTATGTCACTGTTGATTAAAGTTTCTTGTGTATGAGAGATGCTCATTGTGTGTGTGTGTGTGTGTGAGAGTGAATATTCAGAATTATTTCTTATGTGTGAAGACTAAAAAATACAGATTTTCATTTGAATGGGAATATTTTTAAAAATTTTGTAGCATCAAGTCTCTGATGTAAAATATCATATCTATGAATTTAAAATTTAAGATACACTTCATACAGCTGTAATGAACAGACGTTCCTTCAGTTTTTAAATGCCTGTTTTCAGGACATTTCCCTGCTCTCCTAATAAGGTGTAGTAGAAAATTTAAAATTGAATTAAGGGCTTTGCTCATATCAGCAGAAAGGTGATTATCAGGGAGAACAAACATGTATTTATTTGATTCCATTGCTTTTCATTCATTGTATGATGAATATTTATGTTTGGGTAAAGCATGTGATCAGATCAGTGTTTTTTTTTACAAATATTAATGTAATTATTAAACACAAAAGATTATCATTCATCAGACATGCTTTGAATATTTATGTTTGGGTAAAGCATGTGATCAGATCAGTGTTTTTTTTTTATTTTTACAAATGTTAATATAATTATTGAACATAAAAAATTATCATTCATCAGACATGCTGTGTAATTGCTTGATCATCATTAATTGCAGCAAGTATTAGACTGTGATAACGCCAGTCACTGCACATTCCATGTTTTTTTAATAAAGTTCATCCGCATCAGGCAGTTTTCTGTTGTGGTTATTTTCAGCACACAAGATATGTTGATTGTGTTTAATAATTTCTCCCTAATTTAACGAATATTGCGTTACATTTCAGCCAGGCAATTTGGATCTCTAAGTCACCTCTCACAAGGAATTGGCATTACCCATATTAGAGTTTATTTTTCCATTACAAACATCTGCCAGCTAGAAGTTGCGAGTGTAACTTCAATGAAGCAAATAAATAGAGTTCAAATGCAGTAAGAGCAAGAGAGCAGGTTAACTGAGTCTTGAATGCTGTCTTATATACAGAATAAGTGAAAATTTCAGTACAGCTAAAAGGTTGATAGAAATGTTACTGTATTCATTAATTTCTGGCTAAGCAGATTTGTATGGGACATTATACAAGACAACCATGCTGTGGCCAAATACTGTATTTGTACATGCAGCTAATTACAAACCATATACATATACTACACTGTATACATAGGATATATATAAGAATGTTTTTTCTTAACCATATTTTTAAAAAATTTCATATTTGGGTCCATTAGCAATTTCAGTTTATTTACATACCTAGGCTTCATTCGGTTTGAAAATTTGTTACGCTGCTGTCTATATCATGTATGATCTAGGATATTATTACGAAGTATTAAAAAATATATCCTATTCAATAGCATTGTTTTTATGTGTATCATCAGTCCCTGTAAAATAACTTACACTATGTATAATGTAATTAAAATTGTTTTATAATGCCCGGACTGAAACATCTGAAAAAAGTACAAAACAATTTGATATCCAGTACTTAGTGCATCAAAATATGTGCAAATACAAATGATTTATTCCCAAACACTTACTCAGACAGCATCACGAAGTTAGTTATGTGATCTTTTGATCCTGGATGACACAGTACTTAATAACCTTGGCTATGTAGGAAACAGACTTCATAGTGTGCATCCTGTTGTGGTGACAGTTTAACATAACTACCATATATGTAACTGACTCACTTCAATTACTGTCCCTTCAAAGGTCAAACACCAACTCAACAATGCACATCACACATTGCTCCACAAAGATGTGGATTAAATTCCTGCACTTTTTCAATCCACAATTTTCATGGCCTCTGCCTAATTTTAACAGGAGACTTGAATGTACCTTCCGTACCGTGTATAGTTATTGCTGACAATGTTATTCACAATATTTTTGCAGTATCTCTATATTTGTCACACATGTTGACACCAAGTTACGATACTCGCTTGGCTTTATTCCCATGCAAAGGCGTAAGCTTGCCTGTAGTACTGTCCTTACCTCGTGTAAAGAATACCCATAACATTTACTCTGTGTTGCATTTCCAAAAACCCTATTTAGAAATTCTAAGGTACTTTTGATTCCTGCTGGTAAAACAAAACTAAAAACTGCTATCCAGTGCTTGAGCAAACAAACTATTATGTCTGATAAAGTCCACGGTGGTTTGACAGCAACAATAATCTTCCATGAAATATCATACACTTTGTACATCTCACTTTCCAGTACCTTGCTGAGAAGCTCTTTTAAAAGCATCTTCAGCTTGCAAAATACTGAGTCAGCAATAGAAGATGCTTTATCAGTAGATAATGAATACATTGGTTCTGGTATATCCATATTTCCATTAGGTAGTTCATTTCCTGATGAAGACTGTATCTGAACTTGGTGTACAGAGTCGGAGCTCAATTGTTCAAGTTCTTGTTGTATTTCTGCTCTTTTGTATGCTTTTATTCCATTTACAATAGCTTTATTGCATAGGTTTTTGTCATTTGATAAAAGAATCACACGATTTGTCCTCTGTGCTATCAGAAGGCAGCAGTGAATAATAGCATCATCTGGAACTTCAATTTGGAAGTCATTTGGAACTGAATCTGATGCTGTTTGGCCTCTGATTCGTGGATGTTCTGACATGAAGTTGAAATGCAGGAATGATACTGCACTTCTTGCCTTTGCAGAAAGAGCGGAACTTTTACTGCATTTACAGTCCTTCAGTATGTCCAATTCTTGCAGAACCTGCCATGGAATAACCAAGACAGGGAACCCCAAACCTTTAAAATTTGTATCACGCAGCTCTTCAACATACTTCAAACTAGAAATCAGTATATTTGTGTCAAGAACAATGAACCACTGTTGCTTTCCATCAGCAGAAAAGATAGAGTTCCTACCATAGTCCACGTTCTCTCTGTCATCAAGATTAATGCCACTGTCGTGCTGAATCTGAGCACGAACTTCTTGAATATGTGACAGAATCTTCTCATCTTCAATTGGTTCCCACTCCATAAGTTCATCTTCTAGTGTTTCCTCTGCAGCTATTAGGTAAGGATGCTGTGTAGAAAAATTTTGGTCAAGAAACCTTTTATCATCACTGTCGTACCTGGCACCTCTTTCACAAGATTCATGTTGTTTTTTTGAAGGAAGATTGTCTGTTTGCATGTAGCTTTGTTTAGGACAAATATTATGTTCAGGTGTTACCCTTTTTGGAAGTACTTCTAACAGTTTTGTAGCACCACATTTACTCAAACCCAAAGAACTTGTACTACGACTTTCTACCTTCTGTATTCGTTTTGGAGACTCTTCACTTTTGCGACCTTCAGAAGTTCCTTTCCTCACCCATTCTTCAGCAAGTCTTGCTTGTAATTCTTTCAGACGTTTGGCAGCCAACCCAGAATCACAAGCTCGAGGTTTACGTTTTATTTTTTTATTATGTACGCGTAGTCCAGCATTTGCAGCTGTAAGTTCCAGATTGATTATATTTTGTCTTTTGGATTTAAGCATGTGCTGTATACCATCCTTTTTGAAGTTGGTCCCATTGCTACTTGAAGTTGAACTATTACTTTTTGTTTGGGTTGTTGGTAACACCAACTGGTTATTACTGTCCTTACTGGGTAACATTTCTATCAAATTATCACCTGAATTGTGGTAATTTCTCTTGTAATTTATCTTGATTTTCTTCGGTGGCAATTTCTCATCAAAATCACTATGCATTTCTGCTGATCCAGAGGTAATGTGCATCCATTTCGTCATTCCACACACAGCAAGAGAGCAGTTGTATTTCGCGGTCCACCATGAGGAATCTAGCTACGACCAGCAAGGGCTATAACAAACCGAGAAGACATAGGGTGGTGTTAGAATACAATAATTAATTTTTGTTTTCTGTTGAATTTTACTTTATATTCTACATAAAAGTGACAAGTAAGTAAAGGACAAGTTTCGGGCAAAGATATGACTGGGAGTCCACATGCTTCTGCCTGTAGACTCTCCCAAAATACAACAAATGGCCAAGAAATGGAGGTAGATGCAATGGAAGAAATATATGATGAAACTTGTATCAGAAGTGGGATTGGACTTACACACATGATAGATAGGACCAATAACAAACACCATGTTATAATATATATATATATAGGAAGCAGGTTTCAATTATGTACAGATATCTATATTTAACAGTTTACTTCACTGTGTTGATGCAATTCATTCTAGTGTAATATACACAAAAATGAAATTAATTGGAGGACACATTAAAGCATAAATTTCAAAGGAAGAAATATAGATGAGTTCTGTCTTCTGGGATTAACACCATATAGTCCAGTGAAAATTCAGTGACATTTCTGCCTGCTTCATGCTGGTTTCTTGCTTGGCCTACTCTTTGACCAAGAATATGGAGGTGATGTGTTCCTCAGAAGACTCACTGGACTACAAAGCACTAGTCAGTACAATTCTCTGCAGCCCTTTTTCAACCCATTTGACAGGACTGAAAAGTTGCTGACTTGGTTGTTGGAACAAGAGTGCGATGTGTCAAGTAATCATAAATGTGAGGATACTGTATTTACTGTATTATGATCAGTTACTATAAAAATTCTTTTCAGTATGGTGAACATTTCCTGTGATAAACATATAAGTTTGTTTAATCCTAATACAGTGTTTGATATAAGGGACTAGTGTAACAAAGTGTTTTTTCATGAAATATCAAAATGAAACAAATTCTTCTGGACATGAGAGATGCAAAGCATGTCTGTAAGTTATTTTTGCATAAGCTCATGGAATACTGATGTGTGAGTTGATCAGTTAGTTTCTGTGATGCTTCAGAATACTGTACTAGATGTGCTACAGTGCAAGAAGCCCATATCAGCATGAGTGATGACTTAGGACAACAAACCAAGGATGCAAATTGTGTATTCTTAGTTTGGGTTGCATATCCTCTGCTCGGATGTTCAAATTGATTCATTTTTCATGTTTTGTTTTCATTTTCAGAAGGCTTCTTAGTTGTAATGGTTTGATTCAAATTCACAAAAATCAAACAGTTCATTCCAGTCACTGATTTGTATTTCAGTTAGTTGCTGGTGATCAGAATGTATTTTTTTTTTTGCGTGTTCTTGGTTATTAGACTGCCTAGTCTTATGCAGGGTATCTAATTTAAGCGTAGACTGGTTTTCATAAACTAATGACATGCAAAAACCAGTTTACTTGTTAATTGGCATTTTGGCAGAACCTGCTACCTCCATTGGTTATGATGCTGTGTTATGCAGATGGTTACCAAATTTCAGGACCTATTACAAACTCAGCCACAGCCTCCATGTCAAATTAATGCACTTGTGTGACTGAAGAGTTGGAATAAGGACATGAAAGTTGGGACATGGATTGCTGGAGTTGGGAAAACAGAGACCTTACTGTAAATTTATAGTATGGTATGGGTTAGGATACCATGCAGCTTCACAGGTCGTTACCCGCATTTGGAAGAACCTGTTGCATCCATCCCCAGAAACTCCACCGGGAAAATTTTGGCAACACGTTTCTTCTGTAGTCCTTGGTATTATAATCCAGACCACAATCAATAATAATTTTCACCATTGCAATGATCCCAAATAAAATAAATGTTAGCTGTTATTCAGGATCAACTGCAAAGATAATCCACATGTCAATGGAACAAGCGACGACAGCATATCTTTCTTTTTTTGTCATGCATTAATTTCATAACATTTACAAGTGGGCGGAGGAAATCACGGTTTTGTACGTGAAACAGAATGGCAGGAAAACAAAATCAGTTTACCTATTAATTTCAGTACGCTTGCAGTAACTGGCGAATTTCTGTCCAGCACGAATTCTTGAACTTCTTGAAGTTTGTAAGCGAAAGTAACGGATAGTACAGGCACGTATTATTGGCGAATTTCTGTCCAGCACGAATTCTTTACTTGTTGTCTGTAGGCGAAAGTAACGGATAGTAAGTTCGAGTACCTCCCACTAGCCACTTAGTTTCTCCAAATTCTATAAGATAGCGGCACAGAACTCTTATAGTTATAATCCATGAATGTACTACTGAGTAGTCATTTGTTTTGAACTCGTGGTAAGTCGTGTGTCATCGGAAAGTTTTCGTAAGTTAACCACGCCCATTAATGACTGCTGTGGATGCTGCTGAGTTGCTGTTGATGTGTTGTAAGGAATATGTATGTTTGTTATTTTGTTTGAACGATAAAGCAGTATTTAACACAGATTTAATGAAACCCGAACAGTAAATTGTTGCACGTACAAGTGATTGATATCTTTCAATTGTGAATAGTGTGACCGTTAAGACCGGAGTACATAATATTTCCCCAACACCAGAGCATCGAGTGCTGGGAAGGAGTGTTACTAAAGGTAAAAGACTGAAACATGACGTTTCTCGCATAATTTTTCTACACTTGGTGCAGCTTACGTATTTGGTGTGTCAGTGTTCTTTACTTTTTGGGCGTGTGTTGCAAAAACGTATTTACTTGCGAGGAATGACGCTGTTTATGTTGTTGAAGGGCCTTAATCAGATGCATGTATCACCGAGCGTTCCGAACTTCGTACATTTATTGTCAGTCATTGACATTTATTTCTGATGTATGAATGCAAGGTTATGTTACACAGTTCAGGTTATGAAACAGTATATTGTGTGTTGTGAAGGTAAAGTAAAAGTTGTCCCTGTGGTTCATTAAGCATCACGCCATTAGACATTCGGGGAGTGAAGGCATACAGCAGCGCGTTCTGATCCGCGGCACCAGGTGGTGTCAGCTTCATGGCCCGGCTGCATTACTCCGGTTCTTACTAATTTGGTAGCTGGGTGGGTGCAAGAGATGATCTCGACATAGTTGTGAAGGGAAAAGACTGCCCATACCGGGAAGAGATCACCAATTACCCGATTGCCAGTCTTGTAATGTAGTCATAGTGACTGAACCTAGCGTCTTTTCTGTCTAATGTAGATTTTATAAGCGTATGATTTTGGAAACTAAGATTAGATTTGCTTATTTGTTATATAATATAAATAGTGTAGTAATACGCAAAAGTATTTGGACACAGCACGTATGATTTTCTTTATTTTTATTTATAGATTTAGGATTTATTTAATAACAGTGCTGGTAGCTCAGGCTGTAGTGTCAAATGGTAGGATGATTAATGAATGGTCAATTGGAAAGGATGAAAGGAATCAGTCAGGATAGTTATCGGCAAAAACTTTAACCACGCACCTCCTGAATACATGTTAGGAACATTATTGCTTGAGCAAACTGCCTTGGTTATTTCTATGTTGAAATAAAAGTGTCTTATATATGCAGAGGGGTAAAAAAAATGTACTCACTCTTTGATAGTCAATATCTTTGGAACAAAATGACATGTAATTACAATTCTTGCGCGGAGAGAGAGAGAATCACCGTATACGTTCGAAGTGACCACCATTAGCGGCTAAACATCGTCGATGCCGCCGAATTGCTGAGCGAACTACGGCTGTCAGTGTGTCCGGTGTGATGGCTGCACAGACGCTTCGACGGTTTCTCGTAACGCGTTCAGTGTAGCTGACTTTTGTCGATAAACTTCAACCTTCAAGGTTCCCCATAGGTAGAAGTCGAGAGGTGTTAGGTCTGGAGACCGTGGTGGGTACTCAATAGCACCGCTTCGACCTTAACATCGTCCAGGTAGAGTGTCAATCCAAGTACGCCCTGACATCTCGATGGTAGTGAGGTGGAGCACCGTCTTGGTGTAGGTAAAATCTCTCATCTCCAAACAACTCTCGAATGGCGGGGAAAATCGGTGTCTGAAGCATATCGAGATACACCTGACCAGTTACGGTACCTTAAAAGAAGAGAGGACCATTCAAACCGCGCGATGACAGACCACACCACACATTAACACCCGGTAGATTCACTTCCTTGCCCATGTGAATGTGCGGATTTACAGGAGCCCAATAAACACAATTGTGGCGGTTAACAGTACCGTTCATTTTTAATTGCGCCTCGTCCAGTACCACTTCAGTACAGCCTTGCGTTGCTCAAAAGAGCGACCCTTCAGCCATTGTTGCTGCTGTCTTCTGCTCGCAGCGCGCACGCGGCACGACACTCACGTGACTCATGTGACCTTCGCCATCTGTTGAGAAAACATTACACTACAATACCGCGCAAGAATTGTAACTACGTGTCATTTTGTTTCAAAGATATTGACTATCAAAGAGTGAGTAAATTTTTGGACCTTCCTGTATTTATTAAAACTGTTGCCTTTTATGATAACCGAAGGCCATTATCATAATCACCCAATAACTGCAGTAATTATTGAGGAAATAGTAAGCACTGGAACTGTTTATTTGTATGTAATAATTTCTGAGTAAATTCTTGTGTCTACAAAATCGAAAAGTCTCAAACCACATAAGTTACAGATCACAAGATCGTTTCACGTTTTATGCGCTTCAAAAACTAAAAAAAAAAGTGAAGGTAATAGGCCGTGGAGGTTCATAGGGTTGTGAGATGTTGAGGTTCACACATTTTCTAGACAGTCGGCTCATAGATGGCGGTAAGGTTGTCAGCCTTACGTGCCGGCCGCCCTTTACCCTCAAGAATATTCCTGATACTCATTTCTATTAGAGGCTGAGTCGACCCCAGGGCCATAGTGCGGCTGGAAGGATTAGGTAGTAAATTGAAAAAAAATCCACCTCATTGAGATTCGATCCCGCGTCCTTCCGGCTTGTAGCATAGTGCCTAAACCAACTAGGTATATTATATTTAATTCAAGTGTAAATGACTCCTTAATATCCCCGTGTGCGCATTCCTCCAGTCATTCATCTCTTGTTCATTATTATGTGGCCATTTGTATTTGTTCAGTTAATAATAGTAGAAATTATGTATATACTGGCACAGGTGCCGGAGTAGTTTCAATTACTCATGCTGCTATTGCATATGGGAAGGTTACCGTTAGAAGTGACACAGCAACCAATTTATTTGTCATGTTGCAAGTAAAATTTCGTTCAGTGTAAGATGCTGGAAGTTTGCGTCAATAGGCCTTTAGAATTTTACTTTTTGCAAGGCTGTTTTTCTATAAATAAAAAATAAGGATTTTTATGATTTAAAGTTAAGGTGAAAATTTTGTGTGTTGAAAAGTATAAAACATATACACTTACTTCAATTTCGGCGGTGAAATCCCCCCCCCCCTCCCACTTAAACATATGTAAGTCAGTTTTTGTTATGGCTCATCTCTCCCAGTGTACCCTTTCCCATGTGTAGCCGTCGTTTAATTGGGCGCAGTAGCAGGGAATAGTATTTCTATTAACATATTGCCACAGTTTTTAGTGACTGTAGACGGGGTTTGGATTGGTAATCGGATTTATTGAACTCTTACAACTCAGAACTACAAGTAAGGGCGAGGGCACACCAAGGAAAGTGGCAACCACAACGCAACCGCAGTTTCCGAGAATTCTTAACAGCCCGAGTTGAACACATGTTACTGAATGGAGCAACGCAAATTGAGCAAACTGCATTGCCGTTTCCTCTATTTGTGCTGCTCCATTCAGCAACATGTGTTCAACTCAGGCTGATAACAGTTCTCGGAAATTGCGGTTGCGTTGCGGTTGCCAGTTTCCTTGGTGTATCCTCGCCCTAAGAATTATGGTGTTACTGTTGTACACACTTCCAAAATCGCTATAGGACACACTTGTTTGCTTATTCCGCGGTCGTTGCCTAGCAACGGGTCTGCTTGCCACAGTATTAACACATACCTGAAACATGTTCTGTTGTTCATATTGTGTCTTCTGGGTTGTGATCTGTTGTAGTCCGATGGACAGAGGAGGAACATACTGCCTCAATGCACGTTGAATCTAAAGTTCGGTGAACAGTCAGAATCTTACGTGCGTGTAACGAGATACCTGTATGGATACCCACTCACAGTTTTATTATTGCAGATCACAACTTCACCAGGATGGTTTCTGGATATCAGAATAAGTGAAAGGTTCGACTGCATATTTTGTTGCCCGGTATACCGCTGTTGGTTGCAGAATTCTGAACAACGATTAAATTGCAGAATTACTGGATTTTTGTACTTTGTCCATCGTCCGGTATTCTAGAAGCTAGTGTTATACACCATCGTCAGAACGCTTTAGAACCAATGATTAAATCCGTTTGACCGGTAAAACTAATTTCGATAAAATCGAGAAAACCACAATTTTGTGTTTTGTGGCTCATGTGAAGGACCCCAGTTTTTGGAGCTAGTGTGTTTATATTCGCCAGGCATCGGTCAGTGACGGTTAAGCTTCTCAAATATTAAATACGAATAAAATCAATCAATCCGTCTGGGTGCTAGCGACGGTATACGGACATGCAGACGCAATATTCCAGTAACTACGCACGTTTTCATATCTATAGGCGCCTAAAACCTGTAACTCCGTCAAAGTTTCTAGATAGACTTTTTCACCTTTATATTAATTTCTCATATACACAACGTATTTGAGAAAGCAAAAATGAATCTTCCGTTAAGATAACCTTTTGTAGAGTGTAAGACACAAAATGGAGCTTCATCAAGTCTTTGTTTATTTGTGAATCTGATGGCGATAGGCTAATAATGAACGATTGGGGCTAGGCATGTGAAATTTTGCATACAGACTGATCGTAAATATCCCTATAAATTTTATATTAATGCTGTTTATAAGTGAGTAATTGCAGTCATGGCGAAAGTGCGAAAGTTTGGGGGTATATCCGATGGTCCGAAACTTTGAGATTATGTCTGACAAATTTAATGTAGGCAAAATACCCATAGTGTGTATATATTTACCGTCTTTTAGTGCATACAGTTTCACCTGTTTCACTTGAATGGCGTTACACACGAGTTTGATATACGACATGTAAGATGATAGGTCGTAACAAGTTTTAATATATAAATTGTATTATTGAACAACGACGAACACACATTTTATATAATTCTATAAATGGACACTTGACGGCAGGCAGTGCAATGGTTTAACGTCAGTGATACACCTGAGGATGGCAGAATGATGCCGAAACATGTAGTGTGGAGTGA